ATTTTAATAATTTGACATGTAAGATGATGCATACATCTAAAAAGGTTAAAAATAGGCCTTTGTAAAGGTAAATATGCAGATTTAAGTATGTAAAAGCTGATAGAACACTGATGAAAATATTGCTTCAGAATAAATTGTTTACTCCACCAAAAATCTCAGTCATGCAGTTATTTTGTGGGGATATTTTGTATGGAATATTGTCTGCTGACATGAAAAGTTCACTGTATATCATAGTAATACATACCATTTATTACAGCATTGATATTTTGTTTTCGTTTTAATTTATACACACTAAATATTACATATATGTATGTAATAAAATGTGTATTTCCATTACAGGTTTAGGTCTTAAATTTCATATAAGGTGGTATTAAAAAGGTCTTAAAAAGTCTTAAATTTAACTTGTTCAAGTCTGCAGAAACCCTGTGTGGGCATGATGAAGCGGATATCGTCCTCTTTTGGAAGGCCAAACAAAGTAGTTTCGCTTTCACAACGAAACACACAGCGTCTTCTCGACATCGCGGCAGCAACAATTCTACAGCAAGAATAAAACTTTACAGATCTTCTTTATGCACCAAGAGCATGTAACACTCCAAAGAGAAAGGAAAAATTGAAATTGCATCATATGACCCCTTTAAAGCAGACGTAATTTTTTTTTTTTTTTTTTTTTTTTTTTAAATATGAAATCATTTTTCCTGGATCAATAAGGTGCTGTCATAACAGAGGAGCAACGTCTAGGACAGACTTCCAGTATCACCTCTGCTTCTAAAGCCATGATGTAGTCCTGTTTTTGTTAAATCTACTGCTGAATAGGACTGAGCTAATGGACCTGTTGCTATGATAATAACTCTGAGATAAGATTAAAAAAAGTGTACAGTCCAGAATTAGGTCAAATGGTCAACTCTAGATAATGTAGAAATCAATTAATCTACAGCATTTGCTCTCAACAAGAGGGCCTCAGCAAACTTCCAAGGGGGCCCAAAGTTGACTTTAAAGTAGGGATGCACCGAAATTAAAATCCTTGGCCAAAGCTGAAACTGAACAAAATTAAACACTGGGCCAAAGGCCGAATACAGAGCTCGATTTTTCCCCATGTATTTTGCCAATTTTTTTCACAATTGCATTAATTAAATAGCCAAAATTTGCTTTTTACTGTTTTGTCTTGCTTTTCAAAGAATAAATCAATTTCAATTTAAAAATATTTATTCAGCACTGAACGTTTTTAAACATTTTAGCAGACATTATACCAACAAAGCACAATTTAACTTAAAATTAATAAATTAGTAAAATTATATTTTTTGGCCATATTCTTGAATCAGGCATGTATTTTTTCACTGTACAAATAAATGCAGCCTTGCTGAGCAGAAACATTAGAAAATATTACACATCCCAATTTTAACACTGTGTTAATGTTATAATAAATGTATTAAAAGAGATGTTGTAATTATTAGTTTAGTTTAGTTTTATTGATTTATATAGCACATTTAATAACGACAGGGTCGACCAAAGTGCTGTACAAAAAAAAAAAAATCACAAATTTATGACAAAGAAATATCACACATAATCAAATATTAGACAGCATTTACTCCAGACCATAAGCCAATTTAAAAAAAAAGTCTTAAGTGATTTAAAAACCTGAAAAGAGGAGGCTGATCTTACATACAATTGCAGATTATTCCACAGCTTAGGTGCTGCCACCAAAAAAGCACGATCCCCCTTGAGTTTCAAGCGCGTCATAGGTATCGACAACAATAAAGAATTTGATGACCTTAAAGGCCTGTTAGTCACATGGAACTAGAGGAGATCAGACCGGTAAGATGGTGCCAAACCTGCCACAGATTTATACATAAACAGTAGTACCTTAAACTGAATACTAAACTTGATAGGAAGCCAATGCAAACTAATCAAAACTGGAGTGATACTTTCTCTCTTTTTGGTTCCTGTTAAAAGTCTGGCCACAGCATTTTGGACCATCTGGAGACAAGATAAACAAGACTGAGTAATTTCTAGATACAATGAATTACAATAATCCAATCTTGTTGAAATAAATGCATGAATAACAGTCTCCAGATCCTTAAAAGAAAGAAAATATTTTATTTTAGCAATCATCCTAAGCTGAAAAAAATGCTGATTTCACAACTGAATTGATCTGTTTATCAAATTTGAATGCCGGATCAAAAATAACCGAGCACAAGTACCTACAGTTTTAGTTATAGGTCGCAGAGTTTTAGATAGGATGGAAGCACATTCAGGCGGTCCAAAGACCAACACTTCAGTCTTAGAATCATTTAGCTGTAAAAAAATTTCCGGCATCCAAGTTTTAACTTCGCTCACACAATCAATCAAAGACTGGAGATATATTGTCATCTGGTTTCATTGGAAGATAAAGCTGTATATCATCTGCATAAAGATGGTATGAGAGTTGATACTTAAGAAAAATCATAGCTAAAGGAAGAAGATAAAGGGAGAACAAAACAGGGCCTAAAACGGAACCCTGTGGTACCTCACATGTACATGCAGCATTGACAGGTAAAAATTCTAAATAGCTACAGAAAAAAATCTCCCCTTAAGATAGGATGTGAACCAACTTAAAACTGTTCCCCTAATTCCAACATACTCCTCCAATCGTCTTTGTAAAATAGAATGGTCGATAGTGTCGAAAGCCGAGCTTAGATCCAGAAGGACCAAAACCCCACATTTCCCAGAGTCGACAGCTAATAGCAGATCATTTAACACTTTCAAAAGAGCAGATTCTGTACTATACTGAGCTCTGAACCCAGATTGAAACTTGTCCAATGTGTCACTATTCTTTAAAGTTGATGAAAAACCACCTTCTCCAATACCTTTGAAAGGAAAGGAAGTTTTGATATAGGCCGGTAATTGACTAAAACCTGTGGATCAAGGGTAGGCTTTTTTAGTACAGGGTGTATCACTGCATGTTTAAAACAGGCATAACATAACCATTAATAAGACTAGTATTAATAATAAACTGAGTATATGGACCAATGGTATCTTACACTTCCACAGTTAAAAATGTAGGAATAGGATCCAGAGAGCAAGATGCAGGTTTCATAAGACAGATAATGTCCATTAGACAATTGAGACATTCAACAGAGTGAACGATATTCGAGCGAATATTTTGGATCTTATTCATAAAAACTCTAAAAAATCATTACAAATTAGAGGAGATGCACCAGGAAATTAAATTGTAACAGGATTTAAAACCCTATTAATAGTATTAAATAAAATTTTAGGTCTGCCAGCATTGCTAGAGATAAGATTAGAAAAATATAATGACCTAGCATTCTTAACAAATTTCTGGTAACTAAACAATCCCTCAAAATTTCATAGGAAACTTGCGATTTGTCACTTTTCCATTTTCTCTCAGCTTGCCTGCATTTCATTCTTAAAATAAATATTATTTTATTTATTTAATATTTATTAAAATAAATATTATTATCATTATTGTCTTTTTATTTTATTTTACAGAACAACAGTAAAATTACAATACTAACATTTATGAATGTTGATGGAGTTCTTGCTTTTTCTCAGCTTTTATTTTGGTGGAAACCCATAGGAAAACCTTCTTTTTTTTGACAACAGCAGATTTATGAATGATTCTCATTACAAATTTGGGAAGATGTTTGTCGCACGTTATCACATTGTCACATGCCTTGTAAAAATTCATGAAAATGTTACTGAGCAACGTTACTTCAATCACCATACAGTAACCAGCAACAACCACCCCTTCCTCTTCTCATCGAAGACATGTGATGCAGTAATATACAGTCTCTGGCAGTCCGTGCTTGTAATAATTTTTGCGTTTTTCTTGGACAGTTTTAAGCACTTTCACACTGCCGACATGTTTGCTGCATTATAAAGAGTGCGCACCTCTCACGCTGGTTGTTATTTGATTGCGTCACGTCATTGTTCAATGCAATTTATTCTGTCTTTTCGTTTATTTGCTTATTATATTTTCATTAATCCTTATCCAGCAAATATCCAGTAAATCGTGAACAACTGGAAAAATCATGGAGTCTTCGAATATTGCTGTGAACGGAGTTGGAGTCGCAAAGGTTGAGAACAACTAATTTATAGGAACAATTATTGTGCTGATGCCAGTGTCATTTGGATATACAGCTCGTGCTAATTTACAAAAAAAGAACAAATGGATAACTGATTTAGAGTGATTTTACCAAAGTAATTTTGTCAAAGTGTAGAGCAATACGCCATTTTTATATTTATCTCTGCTCAGTTTACTGAGGTCAGTAGATCAAAATGATCTAGTGTCCACTTTTACTTGTTGAGTTGTTGATGCAGTGACATGACTCATCAGGGCTATTATTCTTGTAGAGCACCAGTCGGGCATCGCCTGGCTCGAGTATGAAGTTCATTTGTTGGTTAGTTGGAAACTTTCTAGAGCAGAGAGGAAGCGCTCTGCACTCCAGACATTAATGTTATTATGCTGTGGGTGCAGTGCCCTGGAACATTTCTGACTCGTCCTATTACTCCACTCCCCAAGTGCACCCCATGAACCCTCGGGAGCCGAATATCACAGGGGCCTGGCCCTCTAAGCTATCTTCCCTCTCTCTCTGCCTTCCTCTGCACGTAAACAAAGTCTTGATCGAGCAATTTGCACTTCATCTGTGCACTGGCTAACTTTAGTCTTTCTGTTTGGGGATGGGAGGGGGCATCCATTCCCATAATACTACTTGCTCACCCATACGGACATTTGACACAGCTGATCCCTCTCCCCTCCGTATTGGTGCATTCAGCCCCCTGCTCATCAGGACAGGACGTGCATAGAGAGAGAGAGAGAGGGGACTGGACCGGGAGGCAGACCCCAGAGCGACTCATGTTTCGCAGGGCTGGGAACCCGTTGGCTATGGACTTGAGTTGAGATTTTGTGTTTTGTAGTTTTGAAAAGCAATCAGGAGGCTGGCGGCCTGGCCTCTTTGGTACAATGCTCCTGGATTCCAGCCGTCACAGTAGCAGGCACGATTCTAGGAGTTACTCTGTACGCCAAGACACATCCACCTTGCATCCCTGGACAAAGCCTGGAGTTGAGAGTTTGAAGTGAGCGGACCACTGGGAGAAAGTGTGTACGAGGGACATTGGCCAGAACGGAGTTGTCTGCGAGCTCTTAAACGGAAGCTGATTCTCCTTGACGGAAGTCCCTTAGGACGTACTGTAGGAATAACTTGTCCATTTTCTTTTTTGGGGGGCTTTTTCTCGTTTTGTACTTTTTGAATCCTTTGACATTGCCAATATGATGATCAAGGAGGCCTCGTTAAGGGAGGATCCCGACTTGCGAGGCGAACTGGCCTTTTTGGCACGAGGCTGTGACTTTGTTCTTCCGTCACGGTTCAAGAAAAGGCTCAAGTCTTTCCAGCAAGCCCAGGTCAGTAGCCAACCTCTGTAGTTCAGCAAAGAATGCCGTGTCTAACTCTCACATGCCAGACAAGACAAACTATTCACAGGCAGATACCAAAGAGTTTATTAATAGGACAGTGGAAAGGGGGTGAGGCAGGGCAGGAATACAGTGTCCAAGTGTTGCGTACAGGAGCTTCGAAGAGGGGGGAGGAAGTGGACGGGATGGGATGGGCTCGAGCCACAGCTGCTCTCTTCAATACGTCCATGCAGGCCTGCCCCGCTTGCAGTTGAGTTCTCCAAAATTCAGTCACACTTCAACAGCTCTCTTTCTGTTTGATTGACAGTAAGACTGTGCTGTTCAGAAATAAGCTGCTTTAGGTGTGGACTGTGACTCTAGAGTTTTGCCCAGAGACCAGAATAAGAACAGTATGTCAAGACTATGTATAGAATGTGTTAGACATTTCCACAGCTTGTTATTAGAAGTTTAACCTTGGTGCTGCAAGGTCCCATCTGAATAGAATGAAGTAAATGGACATCAGCTGTCAGTGTCAGGCCTGTGAATTAGACTGAATGCATACAGCGTTTAGGATCACCATGCGAAATGTCCCAATCATTTATCCAGTCCACAAAGAGCTGAGCACAAATCATTCTACTTCACCATTAGATCATCCAGAAATAAATATAGATGGAAACAAATCACCTGAAATAAAGTATTTGGCTTGTTTTAGTGAGGGCAGTGAGGTTAGATGGAAAATATCTGTCTTGGTTTTGCTGAGGAGTTCTTGTCATCACATCGGCAGGATAGTTGATGAGGTCGGCTATGGTTTTACTGATAATCCGCCTCACTTCATCACTGTGAATATGTTATCAGAATGAGAGCCAGCATCCTCACACAGCGAGTACCGGGAGAAAATTTCCCACAAAATTCTGCAAAAGATAGCTAATGGTTAAGCAGCCATCTTTAGCGTCATGGAAAACTTTAAAGGCAATATTTACTTTCATTTGATACTGCATATTGCTACATAAAGTATACTTAAAATAATCTGAAGAGCTTGGAGATGATGCTGAAGTAAACACTTATGAGAAGATGTGTACTACATATGAAAAATATGTGCTGCTGCTTTGATATTTTCTCAATATTCTCAATACTGGTTGAAGCAATTCCTGAAATTTTCTCGCTGGTTCTTACTTGTACATCTTGTCATGCAAATATGAACAGCTTAAAATGCTAGGATGGGGTTAGCTTGGTTTGCATGGTAAGAACACGTCATGTGACATCTGGATGGTCATTCATCATTTGTATGTACATCTCTATTAACAGAATTTCTCATATGCACTGTTTGCTTCAAGCACATCTTCAGCTAACTTTGTTGTTAGCTCGTCTCTTGAGATCTCTTTCAGAATGTCACTCATATCATCCTCTTCAGATTAATGTCTTTGAGGACAATCAATATACAGCTTGGCCTAAAAAGTTGTCAAACCCATTAAGGTCCTTTCTCTAATTGTCTCTTTCTATGTCTCAATAGATCCAGCCTGAGAAGAAACCTGGAACACCTCCTCCAGCTCTAGCACCTGCACCCTCCTTGCCAATCCCACGGCCGCCCAGCCCTCCGCCAGCCAAAGTAGTGGCCACACCCCCACCCTCCTCCATAAACATTCCACGCTTCTACTTCCCCAAAGGTCTTCCAAACTGTGCACCCAACTATGACGAGGCCATTGCCAAAATCGAGGCGGCCTTCACAGAGTTCGAGGAGGAGAAAGCTGACATTTATGAAATGGGGAAGATAGCAAAGGTGTATATGAATTGTGATTTGTTTTTCTTAAAATGAGATTCATAATCTCTGAACCGTTCTTAGCAGTCTTGGATTGACAGTTCTCAACATATAAACTGACACTTGCTTTACGAAGTACTCATCCGCAGATGTGCTTGCCAAATTGTATTGCCACAGCACCATGATGGATGCCATCTCATATCAACATCCTATTTTATCTTCTCACTATTTGAATATTATATAAAGAGGTATCATATAATGAAGAAAAATCAACAGAATAACCCATCTTGATGTTTACACTTTAAGAATCAGATATTTGGACTCTTAAAGAGCATTTTATAATTTAGAATGATTTATTTTGTTTCTTTTTAAGTAAAGCTGATTTTACAGAATTCAAGTTATATTGTGATGTAATACATTTTTTTGTGACTAAACATAACAGTGGATAGGGCTTCTTATGTCAGTGCCATTTTAAAATACAACAAAAACAGCATGTTCATGCATTTATTTTCACAGGCTTGCGGGTGTCCCCTCTATTGGAAAGCACCAATGTTTATTTGCGCTGGTGGAGAGAGGACAGGTTTTGTTTCTGTTCACTCATTCATTGCAACATGGAGAAAGTAAGTGTCAGCACACTTATCACTTTCCATTAAATAAAGTGTTGTATAGCCTTGTATATTAGCATCTGATTGAGACTTTTTGCCCTAATTCTTCTTCACAGGTTATTACACAGCTGCTATGATGATGCATCCAAGTTTGTTTACTTGCTGGCTAAACCAGGCTGCAATTACCTGGAACAAGAAGATTTCATCCCTCTGTTACAGGTTAGAACATTGTAACAGTGCATTGAACTGTGAAAAGTAAAACTATTAGTACTACCTATATTTCTGCATCCCTTATTACTAAAAGTAGATATAAATTAATGATAATGAATAAGTGAAGTATTCTTGCACATTTTATCTTTAACAAACAACACACACAACAATTAGCAATGTGCAAATTACAAAAGTCTTAAACAAAGAAAGTCATGGATGGGGGAAAAAACATTTGAATTGGCACTTGATAATACTTAAGTGGAATCAGATTTAGTCAGATGTTTCATTTTTTTCAAATTTTTTTTAAAGATTTTTAGTGTATGTAATATATGTGTGTGTGTACTGTGTATATTTATTATGTAAATGTATTTTTATGTATATATTTATATAATTTATATATAAATATATTTAATATACAAATATAACATATTTTTCTTAAATATATACATGCATGTGTGTATATTTATATATACATAATAAATATACACTGTACTATGTAAACAAAAACTTTTATTTTGGATGCGATTAATCGTTTGACAGCACTAATATATATATTACATTATATATTTTTAAAATGATTGTCCTGTGTTGGATCCCATGGATTTTGGAGTCTATACAGTGGGGGAAATATTTATTTGATCCCCTGCTGATTTTGTAAGTTTGCCCACTTACAAAGAAATGAAGGGTCTGTAATTTTTATCGTAGGTTTATTTTAACGGATAGAGACAGAATATCAACAAAAAAAACATATAAAGGTTACAAATTGATTTGCATTTCAGTGAGTGTAATAAGTATTTGATCCCCTACCAACCAGAAAGAATTCTGGCTGCCACAGAGTGGTTATGTGTCCATGTGGAACACAGATTAATCCTGCCATTTTAAGAAGTTACTCCTAATTTCAGCTCATTAGGTGTATAAAACATCTGCCCACACAATCTGTATCTTCCATTCCAACCTCTCCCACCACCATGGGCAAGACCAAAGAGCTGTCAAAGGATGTCAGAGACAAGATTGCAGATCTGCACAAGGCTGGAATGGGCTACAAGACCATCAGCAAGAAGCTTGGTGAGAAGGAGATAACTGTTGGTGCGATTATTCGGAAATGGAAGAAATACAAAACAACCATCAGTCGGCCTTGGTCTGGAGCTCCGTGCAAGATCTTGCCACATGGGGTAAGGATGATCATGCAAAAGGTGAGGGATCAGCCCCGAATTACACGGGAGGAGCTTGTTAATGATCTTAAGGCAGTTGGGACCACAGTCACCAAGCAAACCATTGGTAACACACTTCGCCGCAATGGACTGAAATCCTACAGCGCCCGCAATGTCCCCCTGCTCAAGAAGGCACATGTACAGGCGTGTTTAAAGTTTGCCAAAGAACATCTAAATAATTCAGAGAAGGCTTGGGAGAAAGTGATGTGGTCAGATGAGACCAAAATTGAGCTCTTTGGCATTAACTCGACTCGCCATGTTTGGAGGGAGAGAAATGCTGACTATGACCCAAAGAACACCATCCCTATAGCACGGAGGTGGAAACATTATGCTTTGGGACTGTTTTTCTGCTAAGGATACAGGACAACTTCACCGCATTGAGGGGCAAAAGGACGGGGCCATGTACTGTAAAAAATTGGACGAGAACCTCCTTCCCTCAGCCAGAACACTGAAGATGGGTCATGGATGGGTCTTCCAGCATGACAATGACCAGAAACATACCACCAAGGCAACAAAGGAGTGGCTCAAGAAGAAGCACATTAAGGTCATGGAGTGGCCTAGCCAGTCTCCAGACCTCAATCCTATAGAAAATCTGTGGAGGGAGCTGAAACTTCGAGTTGCCAAACGACAGCCAAGAAACCTTAAGGATTTAGAGAGAATCTGTAAAGAGGAGTGGATCAAAATCCCTCCTGAGATGTGTGCAAACCTGGTGACCAACTACAAAAAGCATCATACCTCTGTGCTTGCCAACAAGGGTTTCTGCACCAAGTGCTAAGTCATGTTTTGCTTGGGGATCAAATACTTATTTCACTCACTGAAATACAAATCAATGTCTAACCTTTATATAATGTGTTTTTTCTGGATTTGTTCTGGATTTGGACGTTAAAATAAACCTACCATAAAAATTACAGACCCTTCATTTATTTGTAAGTGGGCAAACTGACAAAATCAGCAGGGGATCAAATAAATATTTCCCCACTGTATATACATAGTCTTTAACAATGTTAAATTAAATTAATTCTTTATGTAGCCAATAAGAAGGAGCTTTGCAGATTTAAACTGTAGGTCAGGAGTCATCTCTCTCTTGTTTTTTTGATTAGGACATCGTGGACACTCATCCAGGGCTGACGTTTTTAAAAGATGCTCCTGAATTCCATTCCCGGTACATCACAACAGTAAGAAACTTTATTAAGCGCTCAATGACACAGCCAGGAGCTATTTCATGGAGATAAGATTACCGGAATGGTGGTTTTGTTGTCATTGGAACATGCTGCAAAATTCTTTGATTGTTTTTAAACATCGTTCCACAACTATTTTAGTGTCAGCTACTGTCAACAGGAACATGACTTTGCTTTGTCCTGGGTTAATCATCAGCCTGGCACCTGGAATCTCTATTTGTAGCATTGCTTCAATATTTTGGTTTTGAGTTGAAAGCTTGTTAGCTTACTAAAGTGTTTACGGTAAATCAGATCCAGCTATCTGAGCTGAGCTGCTGGAGCGTCAGAACAGTGAGACGTGGTGCCTAGTGCGTCTGTCTGTCTGTCTGTCTGTCTGTGGGACAGCTGCAACACGTGCTGCGGAGGGGGTGGGAAGGGTAATGGCGTCAAAGTGGTCTGACATCATGGAAACACGGATGCCACCAACAGGCCACTGACCCTGGTCTTGCACAACCCCATATTTAGACACTTCCTTGCTCTGGTGCACTGGTTGACACACCCCGGTACCAATCTCTCCTAGGACGACTGATCTACCAGGAAATGCATGTTAATCCACACTGATGTCACTCTTTCTGTTGGAGTCTGAAGCATGGGTCCTTTTGTCACCACAGGGCTAGATATAACTCAGTATGCCTCAGTACAACCAATCCCTAGATGACTGTACCTACAGGCAGATGGAACTTATGGATGGAATGATGAGCCCTTAAAGAAACAGTTTAATACACAAATGGAACATTTTGTCATCATTTACTCACCCTCATGTCATTTCAAACCTGTATGGCTTGAGATGTGGGATTTCAGAGCTGTGATGGAGGGGAAAAAATGTAGTTATTTTTCTCCCACAAAGCTTTCATACGGCTGAACTTGCAATGTAGTGCACATATCATGCGGGTGGCCTTTAAGGTGCTTTTTGTTGTCTTTTGGAGCTTGACGGCTTCAATCCTATAATTCACTTTCTGACTAGCATCTGTTTTTTTTTTTTGGTGTGTGTTCAACAAAAGAAAGGGAAGTCATACAGGTTTGCAGGGATTAAAGTTCTCCGTCGCTGCGATGGATTTCCGTTAATTGCAGCGAGTCTACGACAGATTTCCGTCAACTGGAAAAAATGAGGGGAAAAGAAACATGTAGCGCATTGTTGTTCTGCCGGCACACCAAAAATCATCCCCGCCACGGCTGCAGCTTCTCACTGACAACATAACGCCGCTCGCATCATTCACAGTCGGGTTATTAGCAGAGACCACAGCAGGACTTGAATTTCGGCGCGGGATTGCGGTTATTAATAATAATTCTACTCATTCCCGCAGGTTACGCATTTATAACGCAATGACAGATGACGGAACCTATCATTTGCACGTGCTTTTGAGTCTTGAGAACTCACTCGCGCGCTCTCATTTTCTGTGCGCCCAGATCACGATAAGGAAAGTGACAGCTTTTAATAATTATTAAAGGAGTTTGCAAATGTGATACTGATTTAATATAACAGTTCAATAAACAAGTACTGCCTGATTTTTATCTTTTATCAACGAAAATAGTTCCAAATAAAGTAACAGCTCAGCCGCTGCGCATCTCTAAAAGCAAACACAGCGGTGTTTCATTCATGAATGAAAGTGCGTTTTTTAACGAATCTAGTGAGTCAGTGATTCATGATTACCCATTCATAAAGACAGTCACTTGCTTCATTCCTGAATGAATCAGCCGTTCGAACGAATCAATTGAATTAATGATTCAGTGATAAAATCAGTGACTTGCTGCCACCTGCTAGCGGTTTCAGTTTCATTTTTAGGTATAATTTCAGTTATTTAAATCATTTAATATTTCTGTATTCAAAATGTTATATTTAAAACATTAATCTCCACATTAATTTATTAATTTAAATGCACTCGTGCCACCTCTTGAGCCTCATTAAATGTCTGAAAATGTGCCTACAACGAGCCACTTTTGTGTTCTTCTGTGTACCCTTTGTAGTACAAATACATTTTTTATTAATACTAATTTCATATGATTGGTAACTTATTTGTCTTATTCTTCTTATTATTATATTGTTTTAAATAGAAATTTAAAAAAGGTTATAAACATACATTTTTTAATTTGACAGATGAAAATGATGCCATTGAAAAGGTAAAAAGAAAATACCCCTGTAAGTCATTTTAAGGAGTCACATGTCACCTCGTATTAGGAAGGCTAATTTTTGATCAGAATTTTTGATTATTGATCAGAAGGTGCTCCTAAATTTTTTTAATTAGGAGGACAATTGCTCCTAAAAAGAAAAGTAAGCATAGAGAACCATGTGTATCAGTATATTAGATCCGTGCATGAGGTCTTAAAGAGACAGCAGCCTAAATAAACCTGCTGCTGTCTTTCATTATACAGTGAAGACTATTCAGTGTTATTTTACAGTTGAGTAGATTATAGTTAGACCTAACTGAAAACATTTCTTGTTACTGTTTTTGTTTGTGCTATTGATTGTCGTTAATTTATTTATTCTTATTTTATTATTTACTATTTACTTGTCTTTTTTAGTTAAAATAAATTCAATTCTGAGTGCACATGATTCTTTGGTAGAGAGGGGAGGGGGTGTGGTCCATGAGAAATAGTCCTGCTACCACAGCTGGAAAAAATCCTAGGAAACACTGAGTGGAATTAACATGATTTCAGTATTTATTTATTTTTATCACGGTTATCCTCAATCCCCAAAGAATTCAATTCTTTTTATTATCTATTGTTCAAAGATGGAGTGTTTTCAAACAGAATTAAATTACTTTGCATGTCAGTGTTTTGGAGATTAAACAAGTACTTTAGTCTAGGTCTAGCACTTTCTTTGTAAAAAACAAAGTAACATCCTCAGTTACATGATGTCCTCTCTCTAACTCCAGGTGATTCAAAGAATATTTTACACAGTTAATCGCTCTTGGACAGGCAAAATCAACATGACAGAGCTCAGGAGAAGCAACTTCCTCCAGGTGAACACCGTTAAATGCTACCATTCAATTCAGTTTCCAAAACTTGAAGGAACTATTTCATCAAAAGCCACTCTCTCTGTTTCACCAGACTCTCGCCTTGCTGGAAGAAGAGGATGACATCAATCAAATCACTGATTATTTCTCTTATGAGCACTTCTATGTCATTTACTGTAAGTTCTGGGAGCTGGACACTGACCATGACCTCTTCATCGACCCCAAGGATCTGGCCAGGTACAATGACCATGGTAAGTATTTTGCATTTGTTAGCTTTTATCGCTTTTTAAAGTATAGTTCATCCAAAAAGTTCTGTCAGCATTTACTCATTTCTGGGTAAACAATACCTTATATGAACTCATGTTACTGCAGTACTTTAGATGACTCTCATTCAGTTTTCCATCAGTCTTATGGTACTGAGAAATGGCTTTCTACTTTGTGTTCTTCTTTGGAAAGCCTCATCAAGCAGAATCATTGAGAGGCTGTTCTCAGGAGCTGTCACAAGGTAGGAGCTGCTGAGGAAAACTATGGTGATATCTGAGATTTTGGGGGGTATACATGTGACTTATGATACAAGTTTCTTTCTTCTAGGGGAAACTCGGTTCAGAGAGAAGGCAGAATGAGCTATGCTGAGTTTGTTTGGTTCCTCATTTCTGAGGAGGACAAAAAGAATCCCACAAGGTAATGAAACGGATGAATCATATATGTGACCCTGGACCACAAAACCAAAAATCTTAAGTCACTGGGGTATATGTAGCAATAGCCAAAAATACATTGTATGTGTCAAAATTATAGATTTTTCTTTTATGCCAAAAATCATTAGGACATTAAATAAAGATCATGTTCCATGAATATATTTTGTAAATTTCCTACTGTAAATATATCAAAACTTAATTTTTGATTAGTAATATGCATTGCTAAGAACTTCATTTGGACAACTTTAAAGGCAATTTTCTCAATATTTAGATTTTTTTTGCACGCTCAGATTCCAGATTTTCAAATAGTTGTATCTCGGCCAAATATTGTCCTATCCTAACAAACCATACATCAATGGAATGCTTATTTATAAACCTAAACATAGAAATAGAAATATTACCTCAGCAACTAACTAAAATAAGTACTAAAATTACTAAAACTTAATAAAGTTAGAAAAAAAAACTGACGAGCACACATAACAAAATTATTTAGACTAAAATTAAAAGAAAAACTGAAAATAACACAAATATTAAAATATTTGTTTTTAAAAAGTGTTATGATGTATTGATAAATTCATTTATATATTAAAAAACTATGCAGTGTGTCTCTTCTGGAACACAGATAGGGATCATTTTATCCAAAGTTGGCACAAAAGGTATTTATGACAAAAAATCAAAACCAAGTTGCACCTTTATAAAGAAGGTTTGTGCTACTTTTTGGGCTGTCATGGTTTTAGTTCTATATTTTGCTATATATAACATTATCACTCTCTCTGTTCAGTATAGAGTTCTGGTTTCGCTGTATGGATATGGATGGAGATGGTGTTCTGTCCATGTTTGAACTGGAGTTTTTCTATGAGGAGCAGTGTGAACGCATGGAGGGGATGGGCATTGAACCACTGCCTTTCCAGGATCTCCTGTGCCAGATGCTGGACTTAGTTAAACCAGAATGCCCTGGTAAATAACCTATTCTGATACACTCAATCATATCACCCATATAAACTTCATTCAAAACAGGAAGAACATGAAGTTACCTCTAAAGTAAAAATAACACAAGCTCTAATCTCATGTTCCATTCTGATTCAATTCCCTTCTCTTTCTCCCTCAATTTCCTCAATTGTGTTTCAGTTAAAAGCCCATAACTGACAATACACATCTCTACCATGAATTAGCTAAAGGTAGCTTTAAATGAAAGTTTCTGCCAAGTGTGGAAATGTCTATGTAAGATAAGACTGATAAATTACCTGCAATTCCCATGAATCTGCTTTGATTAAATGTGCCTGTCCAGTGAATAAATGTATGTGTAATGTAACCAAATGACATCTCTTGGCAGGTAAAATTACTCTTCGAGATCTGAAGCGCTGCAGGATGGCACATATATTCTACGACACATTCTTCAATCTGGAGAAGTACCTGGACCATGAGCAGAGAGATCCCTTTGCAGTGCAGAAGGTCAGAATTTGATGGGTTACATCTGTGTCCCCTCTGCTGAATATGATATCTGTTAGTACGTTAGTGCGTTCTGTAACTGTACATGCGTGTGTATCAGGATTTGGATAGTGACGGTCCAGAGCCCTCCGACTGGGACAAGTATGCTGCCGAAGAGTATGAGATTCTTGTGGCAGAGGAGACGGCCAATGAACAGCTACGAGAGGGGTGAGTTAATGCACTCTGTAATGGAATGAATTCGCTATGGAGTTCATTGCATTGCATAGAGATGAGATACCATCTATATATGGAGTATAAAGTGTAAATGTTGCACGCTTGCTTTTGCAGATCTTTTGACGACGATTACGAGTCCGATGAGCTCACGGTCTCCTCAGACATTGGAAATAAAATGGATAAGCTGGTCATATCTGATTTATCGGCATAAGTTGCCGTTTTTGTCTACACACCATGATGTTGAACGGATAACCACCATGCCATATTTTCCCTCACACGTCAAAAAGGGAAAACATTTTTCTACATTTCATTAAGGACATTTGTGTGTGTGTGCATGTGTGCAATAGAACTAATTCTAAAACCAAAAGGCTTCAGACACCCACAAAAAGGCTTTATGTGCAATATGTCTTAACATGTAAATGTAAACTCAGTGTTTTTCACTCTCTGACAGTCACATCCACTCCCCTCAAACTAAACTGCCGGCTGGTTCCATCCACCCTTCACAAAGACTTTGATGTGAAACAAAATTACTTTTTAGTAACTTTAGAAAGAGTTTAGAATGTGCTTTAATGTGAGTGAAACTATATGTAATGCTGCCATATATTTTGGGAGAACTCGAGAGACTTTATTCTTGTGTGGCACGTAACTCACCGAAACTAGTTCTCTCGTACTAAATCAGACATTATTTAATCATGAGATCAGCACATGTCCTTATGCTATGCTGTGTTGCACATTATGTTTAAGGGACGTGGCAACGGTGCAAAAGTGTTGCTCCCAGTGGTCACTGATGGTATTGCATGTTGTTGCTTAAAGAAAAGACAAAGTTGTGACTTTTACAGAGTGTTTGAACTTAAGACAGCAAACCTCCATTAACATATTTCCAGACAAACTGACCAGGACAATCTTAAGACTTGAAAGTACTTTTTGGAAATATATAATGTGTTGAAATGGTCATATCTTTTTCAAGAAATGTAAACATGAAATATATATAAATTCATCATGCTTTTCATTTTCGGTGTACAGAGACATTTGTCCTATAGCATTTTGTGTATTTAATTCACCTGTAAAGAGAGCAGTAAAGCACTATTTATTTGGCTTGGGCATTGTTAACTCACTGTTTCAGATTATACAGAAGGCCACAGTCCTTCTGACTCCTGGTTGACCACTCAATCAAAATTCAGTGCTCATGTACTCTCTTCTACTGTTGACTCATGCAATGTACAACGAATTGCAAAAATAACCATCTCAAACTGTTCTGCCATTGGTCAGTCAGCTAATCCCACCCCAAACACCACAGAGCAACAGTGTTTACAGGGAAACCAACATACGCTTGCTTATAGTTCTCTGCCATTAAACTGCGAAATTGGAGAAAGTGTTTAACTATCCAAAATGACACAATTCAGCTTTAACGAGTGACTGTCTCTTAGTGCTGGCCAGCCTGATCAGTGTTTTACAAATGTCTCTCTGTGTGCCTCCACTCCGTCACACTCTTTGGTTTATGTAATTAGTGTAATATATTTATATATGTGAAGTGGTTTTGTTTGTTTTTGTTTGGCCAGCCATTTTCATGGTTTACCAGTAGCTTTTTCTTGTACTGTAGTCTAGCTTCTTTTTTTTTTTGACCTAGGACATTTAGTTTATATAGCCACTGTAAATGTCTTTGTATTTTATTTTTCCCATGTTATTGACTCTACCACTGAGTGGTAGGGGATGTTTAAATTATGATATATCTCTAACTGCCAGTGTTATATAATGTGCATTAAGCTAAGTGGGCAGGGGCTTTATGAAGGAATTCAATATGAATTCATTGACAGGTGACAATCAACTGGACATGTTTCTGCGATTAATGACATGCAAGTAGCACTTCTTAGAGAGAAAAAAAACTGAGCAATACAACTGCTGTAGTGTTACACTTTTATCAGGACTATTAGATATTGAGATAAAAACACAAAGCTGAAACTAAACTTGACTAATGCTACACTCCTGGTTCATATTTATCACTAGCACATTGACACTATGCAAATCTGATTTTCTGGACAGCTATTGGCAGCTTCAGAAGCTGTAAACAACAAAACTTGTTAGTGTGCAATTTTTTTTCTTCTTCTTTTTATCTTTTTTTTTGTGTTTTATATCTTTCCATGTGTTCTTTTTTTTCTTTTGGACTTATGTCTTGCTTGCAGATGGTGAAAGATGGGACTTAAGTGGCGTGATCTCTTAAGTGCTTTGATGAGATGGCTCTGGTGTTCGCATGAATTTTCCCTTTTTTCTTTTGGAAAATTATGAAAACAAATAAAAATTTAAATTCATGCAATGACTACAGGCTGTTCATTAGTAAATGATAAGGAACAATAATATTAATAGGGATAGTAGGGAGGTGCATGTGCCTAAAAAAATGAGTTTTGATCCTCTTATGATGCACAAGACGCCCGTCACAGAGATGGCACACCAGAAAGTTGCTCTGACACTTACAGCACTGTACTTGCTTATATACATATTCATATTGCATAGCTGCTCCAATAAATCTCCACTGAAATTTTTGTGATTAAATGATCGATAAAATAAATTATAATAAAAAATTATATTTTGTTGTATTAAATGATTAGATATAAAAAATATTAGAATTAAATTAAAAACTTTAAATATTAATAAATTAAATACAGCGCAGACTGCACTTTGATAGCTCTCTTCATCAACTACTTTAATACAGGATATTGTTATTTAAAGGAATAGTTCAAATTGGCAAAATAATTAGCCGATTTTTTATAGCCCCTCAGGCTATCCCAGATGTAGATGAGTTTGTTTCTTCAACAGAACAGATTTGGAGAAATTTAGCATTACATCCCTTGCTCACCAATGGATGCTCTGCAGTGAATGGGTGCCGTCAGAATGAGAGTCCAAACAGCTGATAAAAACATCACAGTAATCCACACGACTCCAGTCCATCAATTAACATCTTGTGAAGTGAAAAGCTTGTTTATAATAAACAAATCCATCAAGATGTTTCAACTTTAAACCAAAATACAAGCCCATAATGTGTAACGCTTCCTTTGCTGTCCTCTCACATCAAGAATCCACCTACATATTTTTCAGATTCAACTGATTCAGACGAGATGACTTTTCACTGGAGCAAGCGTTATTATGGATAGAGGACTAGTATTTTAGCTGAAAACAATGGTTTAAAGTTAAAAATGTCTTAATGATGAATTTGTTTCTTACAAACACAGCATTTCACTTCACAAGACGTTAACTGATGGACTGGAGTCGCAAGAATTATCGTGCTGTTTTTATCAGCTGTTTGGACTCTCATTCTGACGGCACCCATTCACTACAGAGAATCCACTGGGGATTTCTTCAAATCTGTTCCAATGAAGAAACAAACTCTACATCTTTGATGTCCTGAGGGTAGGTACACTTCATTTTTGGGTGAACTGTTACTTTAAAGAATATCCTGCCTAGACCATAACCATAAGGCAACCTATTTTCCAATCTGTTATCAACACAGTGGATACAGTCTATACATTTATTGCATGCGATTTATTTATGTAATGACTGCTTTGTGTTTTAGTGGTGTTTTCCTGGAGCCCGTCAGTAAGTAGGATGCTACATCCATATGTAAAAAAACAAAAACACTGAATTGATAAGAAGTTAAGCTCTTACATTACATCTCTCAAATTTCTTGTCACATAAGACAGTTAAATTCTCCAGCTGCCCTTTTGAAATCTATTTTAAGACATGAAATTCCATCAAATGGAAATGGACAAATTCCCTGGATTGAAATGTTCCCTTTAAACAATGATTGATAACAAAAACAAATAAAAAAGAATCCTCTTTGGCTGTGGACATAAAAAGATTAATGTGTATTTAACATATGCCTTCCGGCAAATTCCTGTAATCTGATGTAGTGGAGTTAAGTAGCATTTCAGAATGATTTCAGAATTCTGGGCAGGAACTCAAGCAGTGAACTCCTGTAAATCTAGGCCATCTTGAAACTGTCCTCTGTTTTTTACTATGTGCAATCCATTTCCCCCCGCTATTTTGGTCTCCAGAGAGAAGTCTCACTGAAAAATGTCTTCACTTTCATTCCATCTGCAAAACACTCTTCCAGATGTCTATATAGGAAAAGCTTTGCTAATGTCATGCTGTCAATGACATACTACGGTGGGAAATACATTATCTGATCAATGAAGCCAAACACTTGTGTCTGTCTTTTTGTTTTTGTGCATGTCATGAATAATAATCACTTTCCATCCACCTCTTTTCTGGCAGATGTGAAGAGATTGCATTACTCTGGTGTAAATGCAGAGTAGAAACACATGTTCTAGCTGCTGATGGGAATGTTTTTAGTTCAGTTCAACAGAAAATGCACAAGCTTTCCGCATCGTCTAAACCCCCATCTCATTAGAAAACAAGTATTTCACAAGGTGGGTATTTCGTATGAATTTGTACAGCCAGTAAATGCCCAATTCTGTCAGCTATCAAACAACAATGGCTGGAAATCATAGGAACCTCTCAGGTATGTATGTTAAAGATAGCATCTACGCAATTAAATGTGTATTTTATTTTTAACTACCTTACTAACTATTAATGAGCAGCAGATCAGGAAGTAATTGAGGCAGAATAACAATAAGTTTCCTTACTGTATATGGTGGAAAACTGTAGTAGATCTAATAGGACATTTCATATAATTTTACAGTAAAATACTCTTAAATGTAGTTTTCGGGAAATGAAAAAGAATGCGTCGTCTTATAATTTAAAATTGAAAAATGTAAATTGACATTCCCAGTGTGAAAGCTCACATTTGATGGTTTTTCATTGAATTCAATAATTGAATTTACACTGAATTTACATGAGGCTTATTCATTTCACTTCTGGTGTGAAAGGGCTTTTACATATGCCAAAAATATTTTAAAAAATGTAATATTAAAAACATACAAGCAATCCCAGCCCAGATGAGAAAAAGTAACTTTAAAGTAATGTAACGTATTACTTTCCATGAAAAGTAACTTAGTAATGAAATTAGTTACTTTTTTAGGGAGTAACTCATTATTGTAATGCATTACTTTTAAAAGTAACTTTCCCCAACACTGGACCTGAGCTGAAGAAGGCAGAGAACAAGAGGGATGTGCTCCACACCCTTGAAAGTGCTTTGAAGGGAGAATCAGTGCGCACACAGCTCTTCCTGTTCCAGACGGACACCTCTGACACTAGGGAACTTCAACAGGAGGGAACACCCTATCCTGTATCAGCCAGAAGCTGTCTGTGATTAAGAGAAGCACATATCCGCTCGAAGATGATTACTGCCTTATTTACTCCAGATCTCCATCTCCAGGAAATCCCCTGACCGTTCAGCCTCTACAACACCAGCAGTACTTCACACTGTCACAGAAGAACACCTGGACTCTGCATTTTCAGTCATGATCCATATTTGCACAACACTATGTCTTTAACTTTGTAAAGGAAAGATTGGGGCACTTTTTTAAGTGTGCTTGACCTCTGCTCTTTCATCAATATGATTTCAAATTATCATTCAGGACTCTTCATTCAGCCCCTTCTGCAATAACTGTTCTGATCAACAACTTGGAACCTTTTTCCACATGATGTGGGAATGTGAAAAGGTCAAACATTTTTGGAATGCAGTATGTACTACCTTATCAAAAATTCTTGAGTACCCTATACCGGTGAACCCTGCTGTATTACTATTGAATGACAATTCTGCGTTGAGTTTGCAAAAAATGATTTTGCTTGCCGGGTTGACATCTGCCAAAAAATTGTTAACACAACACTGGCTCCCTCCACATACTTTGGATATGTACAAGTGGCTAATGCAACTTCAAGACATTATTATGTTAGAAATATCCACGGCTCGGGTCAATAAGGCACAACTTTCTACTTTACAGACCTGGACTATAGCTGCTTAGAAGATCTCCAAATATATTACACAGAACAATGACTTGGAATTAGAATGATGCGGGTGTTTTTTTTGTTTTTTTTCACGGAAATTCATGTTTCATGATCCCTGTGACTTTTTCTGTTAACTCTATTATGTATTCAGTGTGCTCCCCATTGTAAAGAGACCGCAGGGTTGAAGAGGGAGGGGGAGGGAGGGCTGGATGATGTTGAATTGAGAAGTTACATTGTTTTCATTCTGACTTGTTTGCTAAAAAAAAAAAAATTATCATTCAGGCTTAAAGCAATTCATTTATATGGTAAAACCTATACCACTTCTGTGAGGTAGATTGAGAAAATATTCATAAAGGGTATAAATAGGCCCTTAAGAGATTAAATGTTGACAGTTTTTTTGCTGCATAAGCAACACTAAACGCGCGTAGACTGACAGCAAAAAGAAGAAATTGTTGAATTGAATTGTTATTTTTGTTTTCTTTGCGCACAAAAAGTATTCTCGTCGCTTCATAAATTCACGGTTGAATCACTGATGCCACATGGACTATTTTAACAATGTCCTTACTGCCTTTCTGGGCCTTGAGTTGCATTGCTGTCTATGCAGGGTCAGGAAGCTCTCGGATTTCATCAAAAATATCTTAATTTGTGTTCCGGAAAGGAAGAAAGATCTTACGGATTTGGAACAACATGATGGTGAGTAATTAATGACAGAATTTTCATTTTTGGATGAACCATCACTTTAATATTAAAAAAATAGAGTAGGTCACAAAAAAAAGTGACTACATAGATATCTTTATTTTGTTTCTCACACAAAGACATAAGGTTTCATTAAAGCTGCAAAATCCTATGAAGAATCTGAAGAGTCATGGACTTTTATGACACGTCGTTGTGTTTGTGTCCTTTCTGAAGTTTAATGATCCTTTATGATCCACAGATGAAGTCAGTCAGGTTTGGAATGACATGGAGTTTAGTAAATGATAACAGCTTTTTTTTTTTTTTTAGGTGAAATATCCTTTAAATGAGTGCTAAACTTAAATATGAGTGTTGATTTATAAGACACAGACCGCATTTCGAGAAAAATACCATGCATGGAGCTGATGGCTAGTGTCAGTTAAAAATGCCTATAGTATGAAATCACTCTCTCCAGTCATTTTCCACTTATCAGACATTTGAAAGCCCTGGGCTTGATGCAAAGGATTTTGTAGTGAGGTTATTTCACTGATAAAGAAATCTAAAAAAATTATAATTTAAAATTATGTCATTGGATGTGACTGTTTTAATGTTAAAGGAATAGTTCACCCAAATTTTGTCATCATTTACTCACCCTCATGTTGTTCCAAACCTGTATGAGTTTCTTTCTTATGTTGAACATAAAAGAAGATATTTTGAAGAATGTTGGTAATCAAACAGTTGATGG